CGACCCATAGCGACCCTGTACAGGGTTTCCGAGGGTGTAAATCTTACAGGAGTAGACAGCCTCATCTTTTTCCCGCGAAGCGGCTGGTAGTTTCGAACCGCTGACCTTAAGGTTCGCAGCCCGATTCGTAACCACTACGCTACAGGACTAAACAATCACCAGCTATTGTAAAGCATAGATGAAAAGGTTGGTGGGGGCAAGTGGAGGAAAAAGTTTAAAGTTAATGGGGGTGAAATGATTAGAACAGAAATAAATAGAACACTGATACAATATGAAGAATGTAGCCAATGTCATCGATAATTATGTCTAGAAACTATAGCATGAAAGCAGGTTTTGCTGTGTATATTTTAACCAAAAATTATACACATACACACATATATACAGGGATGCTTCAAAAAGTTTGTAGAAAAATGGAATTTCAAGACAATGGTAATTTTTCCATAAATCTTCTGAAGCCCCCTTGTGTGTATGGATGTATAGATAGATGGATAGACAGACAGATACAGATAAGTATTTTTTTAACTTAAAAGAACATGTTAACACTGAAAAAGTTTATTACATCTGCAAGGACAATACTTTAAATTGATTATATTTAATGTTCAAAAACTTTATTACATACGCTTTTATTCTCTTCTTTTCAATTCACAAACCACAAACCTGGGAAAACATGCCACATACCAATACCAGTGGCCTGGGAGATCTATCCACCACCCATTCCTAACTTGCTCTGAGCATTTTAGGTATCACAACACTCAACAAGTAATACAGCCAATGTCACCGATAATTACATAGACATCTTTACCTAACATAGATTTCTTCTTATAGGAGGCTGGACGGTCATACAGTGATCTCTGGATGTCTGTATATTTAGAGACCTCTTTCCTTTCCAGCATAGGGACGTACTGTGTAGTATCAGCTTGCTTCATGTCCATATAGTCACCATTGTTTTCAAAAGATAAAATAACGTAACTGTAGAAAGAGAAAAAAGAGACCTTGGCCAGGGTTCCCCTCTGGAGCACTCGATACACAATTAAAAATTTTTTTTGAAAAAACATTCCCATGGAGTAAATTCCAACTCGTAGGGACCCATGTGTTACACAGTAAAACTGCTCCATAGCATTTTCTTGAATGTAGAATCAGAATGCTAGGCAGTTCTCCTACAAGTCTGCTAGATGGGCTCGAACCACCAACCTTTAGGCTAGTCATCAAGCACAAACGGCTTGAGCCACCCAAGGACCTCAGATGATGGTTAGGTGCCCATGACGTTCCAGGTAGCATGTGGTAGGCATTGAGGTTCGAGGGATGAACCAAAGCAAAACCAATCTGTGCCCTTCCTGTGGGAAGATGAGCATGAACCAAATGCTCACACCAAGACATGGCTGATGATCTCAGGCTCAGATGTGCCCTGAAGGAGGGAAGGTCATAACAGCCACATGAGGAAAATGATCCAATCTGGGGGGAAGAGGTTATCAGGAAGTACTTTCCTAAGGACACAGAATGATTCCCCTTCAGAAAGCTAGGGATGACTGGGGGAATATTTAGATGGTACTTGGTATACATCAAGGGTTCAACAGATGGTAGCTGCCATAATTATTATTGCTTATTTACTTAGCCTGTGTACTTATTTGTTTTCAGTTCATCCAGACACTTTGTCTGCAGGAACCTAGACATCCTGAATAGCTACACCTAAGACCATGGGCTATGCTTCCATAAAACCCTTTGCCATCCGGTTGATTCGAACTCACAGCGGTGCTGGGAGTACCAATTAGAAATGCCTCACAGGATTTCCAAGGCTGTAAATCATTTGTAGAAGCTGACTGCCACATCGTTCTTCCATGGAGCAGCTAGTAGGGTCAAACTGCCCACCTTTCCATTCGCAGCGGAGTGCTTAAGCACTGCATCACCAGGGCTCATTATGCTCCCACGGACTTATGTTGTTGTTGTTAAGTGCCGTGGAGTCGGTTCTGACTCATAGCGACCCTGTACAGGGTTTCCGAGGCTATAAATCTTTATGGGAGCAGAAAGCCTCATCTTTCTCCCGTTGATTGGCTGGTAGTTTCAAACTGCTGACCTTAAGGTTTGCAGCCTGATTCGTAACCACTATGCTACTAGAGCTTCTTGGACTTAGAAAATGCTATAAATCCCTTATCTTCAAAGTTTGAAAAATTCATTGCATTGTCTTTGTTCTTTCTCTTATTTTCAATTCTTAGGCCATGAACTGGACCATGTGGTCATGTAGCCTTGATAGCCAATTACTACTACTCAGCAATACTTAGCACCAATAGGTATCCACCCAGTCATTTAGTAAGAAGTGAAATCATTGTACATTCTGTTCTTTGCAGAATTTTAAATCTGCATCCATCTTTACAGCCATTTATTGCTTTCTGTCGTGAGGATTCCTCAGGTTGGCTTGACTTGTAAGCCTAGGGTCAGCAAGGGCCAGAGTGTCTCAAATCAAAAGGTACAGTTACTTATGAGTTAGAAGAACTCAGGCAGCATTGGTCAGAGCTGTATTTCTTTAGTGGCCACCGCAGAAGGAGCAATCAAGAAATCAAACGACTTATTGCATTGGGAAGTCAGCTGCAAGCCCTCTTGTTAAAAGTTTTCAAAAGAGAGGTGTCACTTTGGTAACTAAGGTGCACCTGACACAAGCCATGGCCTTTTCAATTGCCTCATATGCATGTGAAAGCTGGACAGTGAGATAGGGAGACAGAAGGATTGATGCATTTGAATTGTGTTGGTGAAGAATTTTGTGGTGTCAGGTGAACAAACACATCAGTCTTAGAAGAAATACAACCACTGTGCTCCTTAGAAGCAAGATGGAGAGACTTCAGCTCACTCGTTCTGTACATAGCACCAGTAAAGACCAATTGGGAGAAAAGAACAACATGTTTGGTAAAGCAGAGAGTCAGCAAAAACAAAGGAAACCCTCAAAACAATGATTGTTTACAATAGTCACAACCATAGACTCAAACAATCCGGAAGATGGTGCAATGCTGCTATTATGCATATGGTCACCATGAGGTGGCATCAACACAGTTACAACTAACAACAACAGCAAAAGTGGATCGCCTGTATGTAGCAGAATGGCTCCCAGAACTATTTCAACTCTCATTCAAACCAATCAACAAGACCATGCTCACCCACAGACATCATCTGCACCATGGCACAGGAAGACTGGGCAGGGTGACTGGATTCTAATGCTACATCCTGGCTCTGAATCTGCAGGTACTGAGTCCATCAGGAGATGGTTTCTCTCCATTGGGAGGCTCGTACAATATGACACACAGCCAGATTTCTTTCTGCACTCACCTCCGTGTGCTTTCATCAGCGGGGTTCAGTCCAAAGATGTCCAACTCTTTCTTTGGTTTCTCTGGGTGGTGACTCAGGAAACTGTCTCTATTCTTATGCAAATAGTTGACCAAATCCCCATAGAAGCAATACTCAGTGATGATATAAATAGGTCCTGTGGGGACCAAAAATCAGTTTGGAGATGGGTATGAAAACAAACAGAAAAGCCATGAAATTGGTATATTTGGACCTACAGGACATGTTGTTCAAAAAAAATGAGCTTCCATTTTTCCCAAATGCAAGGATGAGGAAACAGGAAGGGTAGAACATTCAGACAAAAGGAAATGGGGAGCCCTGAGCAAAAATTGGGAGAGTGTTAACATATTATGGGGAATACAACCAATGAATACTTCATGCACAAACTATGAAAGGGAAAATGAATTTGCTCTGTACACTTTCATCTAAAGCATAACAAATGCTATTTATTTATATATTTAGTTTTAAAACCGCTCCATCCACTCAGTTGAATCCAGTCAACTCCACTCAAGGTATATGTATGTAAATATATATTCACTGGGAGAGGAGAATGGGGAGTTAAAAACCTGCTTCAGGAGTTTCACAACCCTGAGGTGTGGAAATCCCTACTTCCAGGTTAACAAGCTTACCTGATTTGGTGCAGGCTCCCAACAAGTTCACAATGTTTAAATGTGGCCCGAGATGAGTCATTATCTTCAGTTCAGACATGAGAGCTTGTTTTTCACTGGATCTGGCTGTGGCTGTTGAAGTAATAAATCGTGTACCAGGTCAACTGAACCACCAACTTCCTGTTCTCAGAAGAAGTCAATAACATGGCTAATTCTGTTGGATATTATTTTGTTTACCCAGAGCTCAAAAAAGAAGCAGACAGTGACTCAATCTGGACACTAAAAACAAATCCCCTAGTCTTTAGGGTGGAGTCCTGGGTGGTATAGTGAATGAGCTCTGCTGGTCACCAAAAGTTTGGAAGTCTCTGTTCACCCAGATACCTCAGAAGAAAGGTCTGGTGATCTACTTCTGAAAAGTCAGTCACTGAAAACCCTATGGAGGACAGTTCTACTCTGACACATTTGGGGTTGCCATGAGTTGGCGTCAACTTGACAACTGTTTTAAATAATAAATGGTGCTGGTGGTAGTTGTGTGTTGTTGAGTGAGTTCAGACTCATAGAGATTTCCAAGGCTATAAATCTTTATGGGAGCAGTAAGCCTTATTGTTCTCCCACAGAGCAGCTGGTGGATTTGAACTGCTGGCCTTGCTGTTAGCAACCCAACTCATAACCCACTATGCTACCAGAGTCCTTTAAAATAAAAAATAAGTCACCAAAAAAAAAAGAACTCTTGACTTATAACCTGCGGGCAACAAGAATAGTCTAAATACAAACAGACTGGAACAGCTACAGTGACAGAAGATACATCTTCATGATGAACCTGACCTATACTCAGAGCAGTAGTTACTCCAAATACCAACAGAGAGGCAAAGAGTCTTCAAATCAAGTATCAATGCTGTCCGCTCTGTGCACAGGGTAGATAGGGATGGGCAACTTAGACATTGGCTATCTAAAATGAGGAAAGGCATGAAGTGACTGGCTTACAAGGTTTCAAGAGGGAGCTTAGTTAAGAGTGTGGTTGGAAAGAAAGAGTCCCCACTGAATAGTTATCATCTTGTCTAAATGGGTCTGGTGAAAGGAGATGGGGATAAGATTCGTAAGATTCA